ATGAAAGTAATTTGACCGCTGTGGGACAAATTGGGAGTGCTGTCCGTGGTAATAATAAAATACACTGATTTTGGATTTTTCGAATAACTTCTCAAACCACTAATTTGCCGCATTCCTCGAAAAATTCATTCTGTAATTTCCAGGATAAATAATGAGCTTGCATGCATTTTTCTTCTTCTTGGTACTTAGGAATAAAATGCTTAGCAATAATAATACTTAGCAATAAAATGATCTTGTAACGTTTTAATGAGGTGAGCAATTAATTCGAATGCTTCAAGAAGTTTCCATTCCCATTTTTGAAGAACTTTTGATTGGATTCTAATTACAAACAAAAAAATAATCAAAATAGTAATCCATATTTATATCCAATCATAACTTATAATTTTGATTTTTAAGTTAGAAATAAGATAATAGAGAATATAATTTAAAATTTAGAATAAATATCCTTACCTCTAAAATCTAAATTTATTAAAGCTAGAAATAGCGACGTCAAGTATTCATTATAAAATTACCCTCCATCGCTTTGTTTCATCTCAAATTTTGATTCATCTCCAACAGTATGTAAAATTTAACAGTATGTAAAAAGAACTTTTACATACTGTTAAATAAAATAAAAAATTTATTCCACGCTCTTTACTTAATTAGGCAAACAAAAGGCCGATGAAAACGCGTGCGTTCAAATGGAAATAAAAACCCTATTTTAACCCTTTCGTGACAAGTGACCCTTTTAGCGGTTCATAAAGTTTGTTGCTAAATTACAAGTGACCCGAATGGCGATTCATAAACAATTTTATATATTTAAAAAGATCTACAGCAATTGGGGGAAATCTTAAACATATCTTTGAAATGTGAATAATTTTATAAGCTAATGCTTCAAACCGTTTGTTTATTGCATTTATAGATCGCTCATAAATCAATTTTACAAAATAAATTAAATTTTATTGATATAAATGAGATCCCTGATATTTTTTTCAATGATATGATTTCAATGGTGGTGATTTTTTTTTGTATGATTACCAGTATAAATACCTCATTTATATAATACCAAAAACGATATGTTTATGTATTTCTTCTTTATTTGTTTAAGGTTACATAAAGAAACTATATATTTTTATTAATTTCAACATGATATATTTTGATTACGTTACTAAGATAATAAAAAATTATTTAAAGTTTTTTAATATTCTGAAAACCAATTTTAGAAACTCTTTAACAACAAAACAAAGTTTTTGTAAAATTTTGACTAGCACTTTTTATTTTATACTCTTTTATTCGATCATGATCCTAGTTCGTTATTCTGTTAATCAATCATGATCCTTGTTCGTTATTCTTTTATTCAATCGTGATCCTAGTTTGTTATTCTTTAAATCGATCGTGATCCTTGTTCGTTATACTTTTAATCGATCATGATCCTAGTTCGTTATTCTTTTAATCGATCATAATCCTAGTTCGTTATTCTGTTAATCGATCATGATCCTTGATCGTTATTCTTTTAATCAATCATGATCCTAGTTCGTTATTCTGTTAATCGATAATGATCCTAGTTCGTTATTCTTAATTGATCATGATCCTAGTTCGTTATTCTTTTAATCGATTATGATCCTAGTTCGTTATTCTGTTAATCAATCATGATCCTAGTTCGTTATTCTTTTATTCAATAATGATCCTAGTTTCTTATTTATTTAATCAATCATGATCCTAGTTCGTAATTCTTTTAATCGATCATGATCGTAGTTCGTTATTCTGTTAATCGATCATGATCCTTGTTCGTTATTCTTTTATTCGATCATGATCCTTGTTCGTTATTCTTTTAAAAGATCATGATCCTAGTTCGTTATTCTTTTAAACAATCATGATCCTAGTCGTTATTATGTTAATTGATCATGATCCTAGTTCGTTATTCTTTTAATCGATTATGATCCTAGTTTGTTATTCTGTTAATCGATCATGATCCTTGTTCGTTATTATTTTATTCGATCATGTTCCTAGTTCGTTATGCTTTTAATCAATCATGATCCTAGTTCGTTATTCTGTTATTCGATCATGATCATAGTTCGTTATTCTGTTAATCGATCATGATCCTTGTTCGTTATTCTTTTAATCAATCATGATCCTAGTTTGTTACTTTACGCGCAGTCATACCGCTGTTTTTACCTCAGTCGCGAAAAGGTTAAATGTTAACAATTTTAAAAGAAGAACAAAATTAATAAAAAAACTGCTTAAGCTTTAAATATGTTATCAGCTAAATTTTTTATCCTTACAAAAAAATTTTTTAAGGCATATGTGATGCCCCATAAACTGTGATGCCCGGGGCAAACTACTTCAATTGCCCCTCCCTCTTGGCGGCCCTGTATATATATATATATATATATATATATATATATATATATATATATATATATATATATATATATATATATATATATATATATTTATATATATATATATATATATATATATATATATATATATATATATATATATATATATATATAAACACTAATATATATTACTATATAGTAATATATATATATAAATATATATATATATATATATATATATATATAAAAAGTATAATATATATTACTATTTAGTAATATATATATATATATATATATATATATATATATATATATATATATATATATATATATATATATATATATATATATATATATATATATATATATATATATATATATTTATATATATATATATATATATATATATATATATATAAATATATATATATATATATATATATATATATATATATATATATATATATATATATATATATTACTATATAGTAATATATATTATACTTTATATAAATATATATATATATATATATATATATATATATATATATATATATATATATATATATATATACTGAAATAAATATATAATTGAAGCTGTTTAGCTAAAAAACGTTAATCCAAAGAAGCAAAAGTGGCTGGTGTGGTGCAAGTAAGATGATATCGATATGATCTAGTCTCAATCACGTTCGTCGCAGGTTAGTGTTTTAAAAAGTTTTACCGTTTATTTTTAGGCTAATTATTTAATGTATTGAGTTTGAAGAACGTTGTTTATTACATATTAAATTAAAATATTTATTTCAGACGAAAAATTAAACCTGTAAACAATTTCTCTCTATATTTACTTGTTCAAATGCCAGTGAAACGAACGATAGAAAAAAAGAAGCATTTAGTAGGCTTGCAATTTATTTTTTTTATATATTTTTAAATGATCTTAATAATTTTTTTGTTTTTATTTAGTTGAATGATGAAATTGTTTATACAAAAGGTTAGCTCTTTAACTTTTATGCTAAATATGTTATTTCCTTGTTAACTGTTGTCTGTCATTAACTAAGCAATTTAAAATATACACATAATGACTACAGATTTATCTTTAGAACTGTTCGCAAAATTTTTGGTTTGGATACAAAAATCCAAGTGAAAATGATATTAAAAAGGTACACTTTCTTATATCTAAAATTCATTGCAGCTTTCTATTCATTTTTGTTTATGTGTATTTCATCTGTGTTGCTAATGATATTGCCAGTTTTTATGATTTTATGTTGTTAAGTAATGCATCCTTATGTTTCAGGCTAAAATAGAGCTTTGAAAAACACTTTTTTCCAGTTTAAATGAATAATAACTCTCAAGGTGTATTAGCTAAATTATGGTTTCAATGGGTTCAAAAAGAAGCAACCGCGCTGGAAACATGAGTTGATTAAAAGGATCAGCCCTTTTTGAATTAATAGTCGGTAAGTATAATGTCCTCCACTCAGCTAATCAAGTTTCGTTTGCTTTTTTTGTATTATATTTAAGCAAAAGACTGTTTTTTATGTCGTAACCTGCTCGTATGAAAGGGTTTCTCGACTTGAAATTGTTAATTTTATTCAATAGCGCCAAGAAACAAAGCTCGCTCAAGAAACAGAAAAGAAAGAGAAAGATGAAAAATTATTCTGTTGAACAATACTATTGTTTTATTTATAAATTATTATTCTATATTTAAACATATAAAAGATGTAGAAAATGCTTCCTCTTTTATATTGACATCTAAAAGAGATTTTTTTTTGGGCATCGGAAAGAGCTTTTTGTCATACTTTGTATGAAGAGCTATTATCATTTTCATTAAAAAAAAACAGCTTTTCATATATGAAAAGTAGGAATACTATAGTGTATAGGATACTATAGTTTACTAATGAGTATGGCAAAAAAGTCGTTCCGACCCCGAGAAAAAACACTTTTTTAGAAGTGCATAATTGATAAACAAAGACGTCTTAAAGACGCATTATTTTGTCTTTTTATGATAAGATAAAGACGCATTTTCGATGTCGAAAAAATATGTCTTTAAGATTTGCATAATAATATTGCGTTAAATAAAATTAAACTTAAAATAAATTAAAGTTTTTTATAAAAATCCTAGATCAAATTCTTAGCTGACAGATTTTTTGAAAGTATGTAAGCATTCCTTTTATAAAGATTACGTAAACAATTTTTTTTTTATTTATCGCTTATATTTTGGGTATATTGCTAAATTATAAATATTTTATTTTTGTATCATTTTATTATGGAATAAACTCGAACAATTTAAAATAAATAAAAAACAAAAAAGCCTAAAACTACTAAAATTCAAAACTACCCAGAGTTAAAAATGACGCAAGTTGATACCATGTTACAGTTTTACTACATAAATATTATCAGAAGGCGCTAGTTACCTCATTTTAAGAAAATTTTTATACTACACTTATAAGCAAAAAAAAAAAGCGTGTTAAACAAGCTACAGATTTACTGATATTAAATACTGACATTTAATTGTTTGGGGGAAGGCCTTCTTCTGCCAGATCAACCAGCAAAAAGCATAAAAGCATCCTCATACTCTTGTTTGTAATTGATTTTTTTTTTATTAGATTGCAAAATAAATAAATATATCAAAATTAATGACTGGAGCAAAAAGAAGGCACTGTTTGCCTTAATGCGGAGCCCTATATATATATATATATATATATATATATATATATATATATATATATATATATATATATATATATATATATATATATATATATATATATATATATAAACACTACATAACCGTAACATACATATATATATATATAAAAGCATATACCAAAATAAAAACAGAAAATAACTAAGAAAACAAAAAATTTCAAAATAACAAATAATTAAGAAGTTTTGAAATGCTTACAACCGTTAAAATGTTTAAGAAACACTTTAACAAAAATTTTTGAATAAAAAAATAATAATATAAAATTTTATAATTAACATCATCTCAAGATAATCTTTTTTTTTTCGTTTATATCGTTACAGTTTACAATTATACAAATCGTAATACAATTACATAAATAACTTTATAAATAAAACCTTTCCCAGCCGGCACATCTAGTTTTAATCTCGGAATTAAAACCCGTATAAACACGTAATTGTTACAATCCAGGCGTAAACCAAAAACACGTGGATTTCACGGGAAGTTGAACTGGAGTTATACACGTGTTTTCTGAGGTTTCAAACACGAGTTTATTTCATTTTTTAAACACGGGTTTTATGAGGTTATAAATACGAGTCTTATGAGGTTTCAATACGGAAATTAAATCTAAAACATACACGTGTATAACGCAATCAAATTGCAAACCAAAAATACGTAGACTTCACGAAAGATTTATTAAAGCCTGCTACGGAATTTATACTAAGATTTCAATCATGCAAACTACTTTTTTTTTAATTTTTGATCAATGATTGGTGACTTTTTACCAATCAACATATATAAATTCTCTAAACTTCGATTGACTTCAACTAAAATATGATCGTTTTTATTATATTTTACTTGCATTTTTTTAAGAAAATCCTAAATTATATTTCAATTTCTTCCAAGCTTTTTTACCATTAACAATATAAATATACCAACTAAAAAACTAAATATAAAAGATAAAGAATATAGAGTTTAATCTCTTTTGGCAGCATGAGCTCTTCTCATACCTTGCTTCAACCTTTCACTCAAAAAGGATTTCAAAAGTTTTTCTGGTACCTTCCATGAAACTAACGATGCTAGAATGGAAGAAAAAATCAAAGGCAAATCGTGTGTTAATGACAAATGGTCAGTATAATTTTTGTTTGGCACGTGATTACCATACATAACATTAACTTTAGATTGCACTTCCTCGGTCATAAGTGAATCTAAAATTGCATAGCAATGCGCTTTTGAATCTTTGCAGACAGGTCCCATTGCTTTAAGTTTACGCGTTAACTTTTCTTTAATTAAATTGTCTTTAAGACGGATCTCGAATTTTATCAGGTCGTCCATTGAGGTAACCTGATCAAACGTAACTACATTTGAACCTTTATCTAAAAGCTGTTGTAAAAGACCAACAGCCATATTGACCGTTTTTTCAATCTTGGTTATTTTTATTTTCAAGTGATGTTGTGACATTATTATTTTACGCTGAAAAAATACTAACTTTTACCTGAAAAGGCTACTAGAGCCTCAATACAATTATTTTCATCAGCGGCAATTAAATTTTCGCTCATTGGCCTTTTTAAAATTGTAGAACAATTTACAAGTTGTCTAGAATTCGTTCCAGTAAATGTTTGATTATTAAAATCCACATACCCTGTTTTAAAACATACCAAATATGAATAGGCATATATATATATATATATATATATATATATATATATATATATATATATATTATATATATATATATATATATATATATATATATATATATATACAGGGGCGGATCTATTCTTATGCTATTCCTAGTTTATGTTAAATGTCCTACGAATAATAAGCAAATTGTGTGTTCATTGTTTGGGGTCATGAAATTATTGTATCATTATTGATTGATTCTTTATATATATATATATATATATATATATATATATATATATATATATATATATATATATATATATATATATATATATATATATATATATATATATAGCTTTTTTTTTGAGGGGTGCTGGCAAATATGTGTTGTGCTGCGACGATGAGGGGGTGTTTTCATTACCCCTCCCCCCCCCCCGCGCTTTGCGTTGCATGAAAGGGGTTGGTTGTAAAAAAGGTTTTTATAAAGTACGGGGAGGGGAATTTTTTCCGACCTCCCGGAGCTTATTAGGATCCCAATTTCCCCCCCCCCTTCCCTTGATTATTAATTTGAAACAATATAAAATATTTTTGCTATTTTTTTACTTTAAGAAAAATATTTCTCTCAATAATAGATGAAAATATGAATAACCAACCAAAAAAACTATTTTAAGCTTTTTAAAATTCCGACCCTTCGGTTTATTAAGAAACACCCTCTCCCCCATTTATTATAATTTAGAAAAATTTCCGACCCTCCTATTTATTAGAGTACAGTGCGAAAGTAATTTTGTGTACATAAAAATATTTTGTATGCAAAGTAATGCAGCAACTATATATTGGCAGTGATCGACCGTTGTATAAAGAATCAATCAATAATGATACAATAATTTCATGACCCCAAACAATGAACACACAATTTGTTTATTATTCGTATGACATTTAACATAAACTAGGAATAGCATAAGAATTGAACAGTAAAACCCAGTTTTGAAATGTTAAAAGTAAATAAATTTTTTACCCTAACTGTGCTAAATTTCCTTTTCTAAACTGTTAGCTTATGACCAATAAAGTAAATTTCAAATCATGAAACTTTACTAAATTAAAACCATATTTCAACAGTAGGAAAACTAAAATAAAATAGTAAAATAGTTACAAAATGAAGAACTGATAAAAAAAACTGTTAATAAAAATCTAGTTTCAATGGAACTCAAAATTTGCTTCTAATATGATCTTTAAACAGAAACTTGAAAATAAAACAAGTAACCATCTACTTTTAACTTCTAAAAACACCTGTGTCATGCACATTATATTGCAATTATAACACAATTGTATTAAAACTCACTATTAAAAATAATTAATACTATGATATGTAAAATATATAATTATACACGATAATTATTTATAAATTATAACAAAAATAATAACAATAATAATAAACTCTTACACTAAATACATCAATAATAGTGAATAGATTTAATAACATTATATAACACTGTTTATAAACAAAATTATGTAACAGTAATAAAATAAATATTCTGAGTTTCATGATATTCTGGAGCCATTTATTTTCCAAGGATATTCCCCTAAAATATAAATAAAAATGTAAGAACAGACTTATTTTTAAATCCAGTTATAATTTAACTTTAACTATAATTAAACTATAATTATAACTATCAATAATGCTAATTTATTAATAATGAAAACTTTATAATTATGTCTGATAACTCAAACTTTTACTAAGTCAGCTTTTCAATTCCTATTGAGCTTTCTATACATAACGAGAACTTCTCCTAACTCTGACATTCGCCGAGTCTGATACATTATCTATTTCCCTTGAGAATCAGACTTAACAAGATTCTACTGTATATATTTTTTGAAGTATAATTTCATGCTTAAAAAATACAAAAAAAACTTTCTAGAACTTTCAGAACTTTCTAGGACCACTATTTAAATTACTCAATAAAATATATAAAACAGTAAATAATATATTTATATTATATTATTAAATAAAACAGTTTAAATTGGATCAGAATTTAAAATATCTACAAGTTTCATTCTACGAGGATTTTTCCTAGCAAAACAATCAATCACTTCATTTACATCGATACTGATATCTTGGTGAACGTGCATTAAAGCAATTCTGTGACATTGTGTTACGTAGATAGGTTTTTAAACGACGAATAACAGAGATTGATCTTTCGCAAGTGCATGTTGTTACTGGAATAGTTGCAAGAATTTGAATTAAGGTAAATATATTAGGAAAAGTTATTCTATCAATAAGAGGATAGTCTTCCCACATGTTCAAATAGTCAATAGTCTTCCCACATGTTCAATTCGGTCATGATATACCGTGGTTCCGTAAGTTCATC